CTCTTTGGAAGGGCCGGGGCAGCCTCCCTGCTCTGTCACTGCCCTGTCCCTGTGCAGACATCTGGGCAAGTGCACAACCCACCCCACTGGCTGACCTGACATTAAAGGAAATCTGCCTTTYAACTGTTACCTGAATCCTGAAAGATCTTCMTGTTTCCAGGGTTCCCAAATGTGCCAGAAAACCACTGGCATTCCACAGGTCTGAAATCACAGAAGAGTCTGCTGGCATGCACTGGCAGTAACGACCTTAAAGTTTATTACTGTTCATTTAACTGCCCTAATCTACACTTTTGAGGAAAGAGAAAAGCTGAAATGTACACATAGGCAGTAAAATAAATACATTAGGGCTATAGAGAAGTACAGAATGGCAATTACAAGACAACTGCGGCCATAGCATTCCTCTTGGACAACACGCTGTCAAAGCCATGGGCTTAGTTGGCCACTGGGGAYCTTAATCCTCCCCTTACATGTGGGCTCCTCAGGGGAATGCCCTGTTCGAGCCTCCGTGAGGTGAAGCTGCTGATATGGTCCCTGCCAGACAGGGCTGCAGTGCCAGACTAGAGCACCGACAGGCACCCCACGCWCCTAGCGGGGTCTGCCTGGGGACCACTCATTCCCCAGGGTTCCTGCTGCTGCCGTGGGACGGCACAGAAGGGAATCTCAGGGCGAGGATGCAGGACCGCCCGTGCGAGCACTCAGAGCCTCCTGACCCGAGCAGCTGCGGGGACGTAGAAAAAGGCACACAGAAATGCTACATCTCGGCACACAACGTACACAAACAGCAACACAACGCCACGCTGGTCAGTCTGTTGTTCTTTAATTAACTTTTCCATTTGCCTAAAGAAAGGAATCCCAAGCAGTCTTTCTGTGAGGCCAAGATAGTGCCTGTGAGGAGGCAGTCCTATCAATCACTCCCTTCAACCTTGATCCACGATTTTCTCCCAAGCACAGGAGATTTACTGGCAGAACAGGACACAGGGCCCCCTTGCCCTTCCTCTTTAGGTAGGGCAAAGCACAGGTGACAGATGTCAGAACCATTTCTTTACCAGTGGCTTCCTCAMATACATTCTTCCACTTCCACAGGTCTGCAAAGAGATTTAAAGCAGCATTACCCGCCACAGGGTCGGCCCTGGGTTATTCCTCAGAGAGGCCGAACCAAGCGCCAACCGTCCCCGTCCCACACACCCCACGAGCTGGGGGCCGACACAAAACAAGGACTGCGGTCTTTCAAACTTGCTCGTTCCTCCTCTTTAGCTGCTGCGCTATCACGAGCAGCTAAACTGGACTTTGTTTTACACAAGAAGGACAAGCCAAAGGTGGTAACCGAAAAAGGCAGCAAGTGTGGTGTAGGGCAGCCACATTCCTGCTTTCCCTTTATCTGATCCCAAGGCCTGCTTGACCTTTAATGTGATGGATTCTGAAATTCAGCGTGTCACACCGGCAG